GCCTGTAATTCCGGCTACTCGGAAGGCTGAGGCGGAAGGATTGCTGGAGCCCAGCAGGTCGAGGCTGCGGTGGCCGGGAGTGGCCACTGCACCCCAGTCTGGGTGACAGAGTGAGACTCCAACTCAAAAAAAAAAAAAAAGAAACACAGGTTTGAATCTTATAATTCTGTTTCTTTCTAGCTGTGTGGCCTTGGGCGGGGGGACTTTAAGTTTGTAGATATTGTGTACCTATTTTGGGTTAGGCATGCTTCTAGATACATTACATACATCATCTCATATAATCCTTGCAAAAACTTTGATGTGGGCAGTGGTGAGAATAAAAATATTTATTTGTTTATTTTTTGAGTTGGAGTCTCACTCTGTTGCCTAGCCTTCTGCCTCAACTTTCCAAGTAGCTGGAACTACAAGCATGCACTACCACACCCAGCTAATTTTTTATTTATTGTAGAGACGTGGTCTCGCCAAATTGCCGGGGCTTGTCTTGAACCCATGGGCTCAGGCAATTCACTCGCCTTGGCCTCTCAAAGTACTGGGATTACAGGCTGACCCCCGCCAAATAAAAATATTTAAACACCAGGTTGAATTGATGCCAGTTGCCCTCGCAGCCCTGAAAACAGATACTATTATTATCCCACCTCATAGTTGAGGAAACTGAGGCTTGGAGAGTTGAGTCAGTGCCCAGATCATACAGTTATTAAGAAGACAAGCTGAGATTTGTTGGTGGAAACAATGAAAAGATCAATAATATTTAACCCCTGCCATAAAGAGCTCACAGCCTGGCTCATGAGCTGAGTGGTGGAGCTGGGTGTCCCTCACCTTCTCCCCCAACTCCCCAACCTTTAAGTAAAATATTGTGCCTGCAAGGACTTTTCTCCCTTTGTATTAGTCTCCTTAGGGCTATTGTAACAAATTACCATAAATCTGGTGACTTAAAATAACAGAAATATATCCTCTCACTTTTTTGCACACCAGAAGACCTAAATCAGTTTCACTGGGCAGAAAGCAAGGTGTTACTAGGATTGTGCTCCCTTGGGACTCTAGGGAAGACCTGTTCCGTTTCTTGAACCGACTAGGACACTCCTTGGCTTATAGCTGCAGTATTCCAATCCTGCCTCCCTAGTTGCGTGGTCTATCTCTTGTAGGCAAATCTTTCTCTGCCTCCTCCCTCTAAAAAGTATCTTGGACTTGGATTTAGGGCCCATTCAGAAAATCCAGTATTCTGTACCTATCTCAAGATCCTTATTTGAAACACATCTGCAAAGACCATTTTGCCATTTATGGTAGCACTCACAGGTTCCGGGACTAGGACCTGGATATTTTGGGAGGTCATTGTTAGCCTACCATACTTTTTTCCTCCATAATTTATGTCATTTGTTGTACAAGCACTACTTTAATGAGATTTTAAGGATGTTTTAAAAACGTAAACTTCCTACACATGATTCCTCCAACCTACCAGGCCAACTTTTCATTTTTTCTCTTTCCTTTCAGTCCCTGAATGTGTCTGAGCAAAATCACTTGGAATTCCCTACCCAGAGGAACCTCTGCTCACTTCTTAAGTACAGGTTAAGCACCCCAAATCTGAAAATCAAAAATCTGAAGTGCTCTAAAATCTGAAACTTTTTTTTCAGATTAGAAAATGTAGTTTATTCAGAGAGAGAAAAAGAAAGGATTCACTTCCCCAAGATAGGGAAGGGGGCCAAAGCTTAAGAAAACATGGTCTGACCATAGCTCAAAGAGCACATGGCCACACTACAGTCTAGTAAGGCAATGGCAAAATCTGAAACTTTTTAAGCACCAACATGATACTCAATGGAAATGCTCATGGGAGCATTTGGATTTCAGGTTTTCAGATTAGAGATGCCCACTGGTAAGTATAATGCAAATAATCTCAAATCGGAAAGACATCTGAAATCTGAAACCCTGCTGGTCCCAAGCATTTCAGATAAGGGATATTCAACCTGCATGTTTTCCCAGCATTTCATATGTAATTAAGAAAACTTTCTTTAACAAAACTTATCTCATGTTATCCATATTGTTTTGTAATGTCCCTTATCACTTCACAGAAAATAAATCTTTTTCTAAGTCGGTGAATGAATATACATCTCCTGGGTTATTTTACAAGACTATATGGTATTTTGTCACAATGACAAAATCTCTGCCCCCTGTCCCCACCTCGTGTACCTCGAGCCTGTTTTGAAGTCCAGACCCAAGGGGATGAGACAGTAAGGTCCCAATAGCGGGTCCTAAGTTACAAATGAGACACCCTTAGCCCATAAACTTGATTCTTTTGTTGCCTGTTGGGTTCTGTCATTATTTGTGACTCAGCCCTGAGTATAGTCTCCTCTAGAAGTTCTGGCCTCAGCTCACCAGGGTTGCTAGGGATTTGGGAAGAGTCATGGTGGACAGTTAGACCACCAGAGATGAGGGGGTCTGCGCTCTCCTGTGGCTAGCATAGTGGAGAAGGAGACTGGGGGGTTCAAGCCAGGGCTGCCCATGTTCGCCACATACCTCGTGTGTGGGGGGCTCTCATTGCCTACCATGTCAGTGCTTTTGACATATAACAAATCATCCCCAAACTTGGTGGCTTGAGATAACAGCCATTTATTTATCACATGGTTTTGTGAGTCAGCATTTTCGAGTGGGCTCCATGTCTTCAGGTTGTACAGTTGGGTCTTACAGATACATCTGCAGTTGGCTGGCAGATCAACTAAAGCTGGTTGGTCTAGGGTGGCCTCAGCTTGTCTCTGCTCCGTGTGGCTCCTCATCCTCCAGCAGGTGAGCCCGGGCATGTGCTCATGGTGGTTCTAAGAGAAAGGGTGGAAACAGCAAGGCCTCCTGGGACCAAGCTCAGAACAGGCACCATGAAGCAGCCATTTCCATGGCCTTCATTTAGTTAAAGCAAGTGATGAGGCCAGCACAGATTGCACAGAGAGGGAGTAAATGTCACCTCTTGGTGGAAGGAGGTGCAAAGTCACGTCATAGAGTGTGTGGGTACAGTGAGGGTTGGAACACGGTGGCCGTTTTTGCAATCTGTAACACCTGAGCCTGGAGAGCGCTGGGGATGAGGGTGTGTAGGGTGGCTCCTGAAGAGTACAGACATATGGCAGCAGGTCCCCAAATGCACCCTGTCTTCTCCCCAGGCCTCTTCAACGGAGTGAAGCTGGTGGTGGAGACGCCTGAGGAGACCCTGTTCACCTACCAAGGGGCCAATGTGACCTTGCCCTGCCGCTACCACTATGAGCCGGCTCTTGTCTCCCCAAGGCCCGTGCGCATCAAATGGTGGAAGCTGTCGGAGAATGGGGTCCCGGAGCAGGACGTGCTTGTGGCCATCGGGGTGAGGGTTCGCTCCTTCGGCGACTTCCGAGGCCGCGTGCACTTGCGGCAGGATAAGAAGTGCGATGTCTCGCTGGAGATACGGGATCTGCGGCTGGAGGACTACGGGCGCTACCGCTGCGAGGTCATTGATGGCCTGGAGGATGAGAGCGGCCTGGTGGAGCTGGAGCTGCGGGGTGAGACCCTGACAGGGACTGGGTGACGCTGGTACCTGGGGATACAGGGGAGACCTTTGTGCTTTAGATTTACAATTGCATTTTTTTTTTTTTGAGTTGGAGTCTCACTCTGTTCCCTAGGCTGGGATGCAGTGGTATGGTCAGAGCTCACCGTAGCCTTTTCCTCCCAGGCTCGGGTGACCCTTTTGCCTCAGCCTCCCAAGTAGCTGGGATTACAGGCACATGCCACCATGCCTGGCTAATTTTTTGATTTTTTTGTAGAGACAAGACTTCACTGTTGCCCAGGCTGGTGTTGAACTCCTGGTCTCAAGCAGTCCTCCCCCTTGGGTGCTGGGATTACAGGTATAAACCACCATGCCTGGCTGTAATTGCATTTAATCCTCAAAACAACCCCTCAAGGAATTTACTATTATTGCCAACCCCATTTTACAGATGAAGAAACTGAGGCACCGAGGGGTCAAGTAACTTACCTACAGTCATGCAGCTTGCAAATGGCAGAGCTGAGGTCTGAATGCATGATCTGCTGCCCTCTGCTCCCTCTCATTCACACCCTATTCTGAGAGAAGGAGAAGGAAGGTGATCCCAAAGCCTTTTAGAGACAGAGCTGAGATGTGAGCAGGATTAGCAGGCAACACAGATGAACGAGGCAGGCCTCGTGTGAGATGATTGGGAGTGGTGGGGACTGTTCCCCGGTTCCTGGGACTGTGAGGGCTAGGAATTTGGGGCGGGACCAGGCATAAAATAACCCCCTGCAAACACACAGGGAGGCTGGAAGCTGATTATTGGGGCCCGTGGGCTTCTGTGCCCCCCTCGGCTTGCTTTTCCCAAGTGCCTGGTTCCTGCCTTGTTGAGATTGGAGGTTTGGGCCCAGGATATTCCTGAGCGGCCTCAGTGAGGAGATTCCAAGGACTCTGAGTGAGCAACACCAGCCAAGCAGTGTCCTTTCCTAGACCCTTATGCCCACCTTAGTTCTTAAGTTTCATCTGACTTGGTAGGAACTGAATCTTGGATGTTTAAAAAACTTTTTTTTTTCTTTTGAGTTGGAGTCTCACTCTGTCACCCAGACTGGAGTGCAGTGGCCGCTCCCGGCCACCGCAGCCTCAACCTGCTGGGCTCCGGGGATCCTTCCGCCTCAGCCTTCCCAGTAGCCAGAATTACAGGCATGCACTACCACGCCCGGCTGATTTCTTGATTTATTATAGAGACGAGGTCTCGCTGCCCAGGCGGGTCTCGAACCCGCGGGCTCAGGCAATTCACTCACCTCAGCCTCCCAAAGGTGTGGGATTACAGGCTGAGCCACCGAGCCCAGCTTAAAAAACTTTTTATGATAGTAAAATGTCAAACATGAATGTTAATTTTTGAGAGGAGCCTGTGGCCCCCACCAGACCCTGGCCACGAGGAGGGTGGTCCCCTTCCCCAAGACCTCCCAACCTTGAACCTCCTTTATTTAAGGACCTTTTATCACCCCTCTTCCCACAGCTTCTAGGGCTTCTTCTTTCCCTGGAAATCATCTGTCACGCATGGAAAGTTTCTTGCATTCTTCTAGGAAACTTCCTCAGTCATAATAACATATGTGTCAGGTCTCAGCTATTGAGAGGAGAGCTGGGACCCAAACTTGGCATCTAGAGGCCAAAACCCATCTGTAGACAACAGCATGTCCTTGCTGGGTGCTCTCACGGTGGCCTTGTGAATTAGGTATAATTCCCATTCTGTAGTTGGGGACATTAGCTGACTGATTCATTAATCACTGTAACAAGCGGATGGATGTTTTCTGAGTACTGCTGTGTGCTGGCCTAGTTCTAGGAGGGAAAGATCAAGCAGGTGTAGGCTCTGCCTTGGACTTGGGCAACGGATAGGAGATCAGAGGTTTGCTGAGCTTTTCTGAGGGACAGTGTGCTGTGGGGACCTTATGTCCCAGTGGAGTGGGGGTAGAGCTGGGGTGTCCAGCCAGCTGGGCCCTCGCCCCCTCCAGCTCTTCTTTCCTCCCTCCCCAGGTGTGGTTTTCCCCTACCAGTCCCCTGAGGGGCGCTACAGGCTCAACTTCCACGAGGCCCATCGGGTCTGTGCAGAACAGGACGCGGTGGTGGCCTCCTTCGAGCAGCTCTTCCGGGCCTGGGAGGAGGGTCTTGACTGGTGCAATGCAGGCTGGCTGCAGGATGCCTCGGTGCAGTATCCTATCACACTGCCCCGGCATCACTGTGGCGGCCTGGACCTGGCGCCCGGCGTGCGTAGCTACGGCCTGCGCCACCGCCGCTTGCACCGCTACGATGTGTTCTGCTTTGCCGCTGCCCTCAAGGGTGAGTGGAATGGTCACACCCGGGCCTGTGGGTTTGATGGCTGTCTGGAACCTGCAGGAGCACAGTGTCTGGGAGCTTCTGGACCCTTCTGCCTGCCCTGCTGGCACCTCCACTTGGAGGCCTGGAGCACCAGCTGATATTGAAGCAATATCCTGAGTTCAGTGCTTTGAGGCTGCTGCTTCTTGCCATCGTGGTTAATTCATTCAACAAACATTGTCTGGGTGCCTACCATACATGCTGGTGGCCTAGACTCTGGGGCATCACAGACAGATAAAACACAGTGTGTGCTCACAAAAGTATTCTTCTTAAGAAGATAAGCACAACCAGAAATTGGTTCAGTGCTGCATGCCAAGCATTTAGAAATGTGCCTGACACATAGTAGGTGCTCAGTAAATGACTGAATATGTGAGAGACTCTAATTGGTCCAGCCTAGGAGGGGTGCCCACCCAGGGTGCAAATAGGGAAGGGTGGTGGGGAGTACAGACATGACTAGAGGGGCTCCAGCCCTATAGCAGGTTAGGTGGCACTCTCAGGGAAAAGGTGAGGACTGGGGAGTGTCCCCAAAGTGTCCATTGCAGATATCCACAGCATGGTGGCTCCCTGGGCTCAGACAGTTGTCAGGTCTCAGGGGCCAGTGTTGCTGTGGGCCCTGCTATCCTCTCCCGCCCCCTGCGCTGCCCAGCACTCATGCCCCCCTTACCCCCAGGGCAGGTGTACTACCTGGAGCACCCTGAGAAGCTGCCGCTGACAGCGGCAAGGGAGGCCTGCCGGGAAGATGGAGCCCAGATTGCCAAGGTGGGACAACTCTTTGCCGCCTGGAAGTTTCGTGGCCTGGACCGCTGTGATGCTGGCTGGCTGGCAGATGGCAGTGTCCGCTACCCAGTGGCTCACCCCCGTCCTAACTGTGGGCCCCCAGAGCCTGGGGTCCGGAGCCTTGGTTTTCCAGACCCACAGAACTTGTATGGTGTCTACTGTTATCGCAAGCACTAGGACCTGGGGCCTGCCCTTGCCCCTCCCTTCATGGGTTGTGTATTTATTTGAGTGTAGTTTATTTTCTCTTTTGGGTTGGGGCAATTTTAGTATTGCTTTTAGGCTTCCTAACTTGCATTTTCTTTTTTTTTTTTTTTTT